TGTTAAAAAAGAGTATTAATTTTTTTTTTAATTATAATTTCCGTAATAACAATTTTTTTAATTTAGAAATATACACATGCAATGAATATCGATAAAATAATGTTTAAAATTGAAATAGGCGTTACAAAAATTTAAATATAAATCAATTTAATTATCAAATAAAAAAGCAAAGCGATATCAGACCATATTTAAGCAGAACTTATAAAATAAAAGTCTCACTTTAATATAAAATACATCTAATTATGGATAGAAGGTTGTTATGATAGAAAATAAGATTAAAAAATGAGTGAAAATAAAAAATAATTGAAAATGAAGAGAGTATAGAATTGATAAAAATTGATATAATGATTTAGAATTGTTACATGAATGATAATTTGATCATTAATTTTATTAACATTTAATAATTTACTATCACAATGTTATATATAATTTTTTTTATTTGTTGTCTTTAAAATGTGTTATTAGATAAGTTTAGATATTTATGGTGAAAAAACGATAACTATCGTGGTAAGTGGAAAGTACTAACATTGAAAAGGTTATGTATAATAGAAGATTTTTTAAATATTCTATGTGATATCAACGCGTTACTAAACCAGCTGTAGTAAATTCCTTTTGCTGCACCTATGTTTGACCTGACAGAATTTCACAGATTACTTTAAAATTATGTTCAGTTAATAAAATAAAATATATTTTTATTTACTTTTTAATATATTATAAAATACCTGTTAATGTAAAAAGTTAAATAGTTTCATAGGAACTTGTTTATAATTCTTTATATAAACATATATGGATTATATATAATGAAGATAAATTTGCTGTATTCATAGTATTTATTTTCTTAAATCAAGAATATTTATATTATTATCTTTAATTTAATAATACAATCGTGTTGATTTTATTGCCTATTTTAGATATAATTATTTACATTATATGTAAAATATACTAAATAAGACTTAGCTTATCTTTAACGTGGTTTTTAAGAAGTAAGAGAATAAAATTGAAATATTAGTGACACCTCAGAATAAATAAAAATATATAACAATTCAATTTTCTAGCTATTATTATGTTATTTTTAATATATTTATCATATGGATTATATTTTTAAATGCGTGAATTTGTAATAAAGATCCTTTACAATTTAATTTATAAAAATTAATTATATGTACATAATTACTATATAATTAATTTAACAAAATTTGTACTGAGTCAAATTTTTAATGTTTGTAGTTTATTCTAAATTGTACATGCTTTCACACTGTCAGCATTAAATATAGATATAATGGTGTGAAAATATAAAAATCGAACTTGTTATTTGCGCCGTAAGCAAATTTTCTTACTCTGTCCGATGTCTATAATACAATTTGTTACTGCGAGTGCATGAAACTACTATCGATATTAGGAAATACAATTTCGTTGCGCTTTACTACAATCCCAGTGTACATTTCTTTCGGCAAATCACGGAGAATACCTGTTGTTATGTTGACACTTGTGTTGCTGAATACTTGTCTTTTAAGAAATGTACGCTGTTTGCTTCTTTAAAATTTTATATAAATTTGAAATGGTATTAAATATTTAAATAAATAAAATACATATTTATTGAATATTTAAATGAATTTTAAAAAAGTTTAATTTATTTAATTGTATTTTATTTAACATGAATATTTTTGTTTGCATACCACTAACTTAGAAACTTTTAATTAATAAATTTAGTTCATTGCCATTAAATTTGATAGTTTTTAAAATAAATTTAGTGCATTGACCCATTAAATTTGATAGCAAATAGGAATGATCAAGGTTGTGAATTTAATATCTTAACGTACATTAATATTATGCAGTCAAATCAGAAAGTAAAAGGACTTTAAAATGTAATGTTGTTTTTAATTTTTACATAATTCAGTAAATCATAATATTAATTTTGTTAACTTCATGGATGTTTTTAATGGGTCACATAAAGTTTATATTGAATTTCTTTTGTTCATATTTCTAAAAGTCGATAGATATACATAATTTAATAGTAATTTCTTTAATTTTTAAATTAAGAATTAGGCATGAAATTAACTTATGTATGTGTTAATAAATAGATAAGAACCTAAAGTTTAATTCTTAAATATTTTTAAATAGTCAATAAATAATTTTGAAACTTAATAATTTTTTTTTTAAATGTTAATTATTTTATACGACAAAAATCTAGGCTTGCATGGTTTGGTTTTCAAAATAAATTTTTGTTAAATTTAGGATTTTAATTACATTTTAAAAGAAGTTCAATTTTTAAATATTTATAATTATTGTAATAATAAAATGTTTTCTTTTGTGAGAACAAACAAAATTTTTTAACATTAAAAAAAATAATACTATAGTTATTAATTAAATTAATTATTTTCTTACATAAAATTCTTTTCGGGATTTATTTACTTTAAAAGTAACTCTATTAGATGTTAAAATTAGCTGTTATAATATTATTTTATATTTTTTAGTCATTTTAGTCATTGGATGAAAAAAAACATTGTAAGTATATGGTAATATAGTATTTGTTATATATAGCCACAGAATCTAAATCGAGTGATGCACTAATGTATAATAAAATGGATATAAATATATATATATATATATATATATATATATATATATATAAATTGTTAGTTCAAGGTTACCTTGATAAAAAGGCATTTTACTTTTTCTAAAGAAACATTAGATTTGTTTAATGTTACATTGTAGGAAATTTATTATTTTAGAATTTTTAAATATTCTTCGTTTTTTGCAAATTATATCGTAAATATCATTCGTTTTCTAATAAATTTAGTTATTTTTATTTTAAATTTAGTTTATATTACTTATATATATTCTAAAAATTTTAAGTTAATATTCTGATGTTGATTTTAATAAAAAATTATTTGCATGTACGTAATTATAATATGTATATTACAACTATCTATTACTATGTAATTACTATTATAATATATATGGATATAATTTCTTTTAATCTTCTCATTTCATTTATCACTACATTTTAGTACAATGAAAAATAAAATTGTATACATTTAACCTTGTATTTATAACTTTTTTGAAGTTGTATTTTGAAATAATTTATTAATTATATTTATTACATCATAAATTGAAAAATATCTGATTTATGTTACTGTACCGAAAAACATAATAAGATTAGCATTTATAACTTCTTCTGTTACCTGCAAATTAAGTTTTCAATTTTAAAGCTAATAACTTCTCAACATTCAATAGATGTAAATAGATTTGAACTATATTAATCCTTGTTTTAACTATGTAACTTATAGATGTAAATATAGTTTAAAATTATTATAATACGCTTTTTTTCACTTGTACGAGGAATTGCAATAATACGTATTATTACAAGTTGTCTTGTGTATATAAGTAACCGATCATTTTAATATTTTGTTGCCATGTTTTTATTTTTACTTTTTATACATAATAATTTTCTAATAAATAGTAACTTATATTTAGATGATAAAAAAATGTACTTAATGCTTTACATATTCTTTCACTTAGATAATACATAAGTAAAGATTGTTTTAGACAATTATATTTCTTTTTATCGCCGAAAAAAAAACTAAAACTTCATCTTTGTACATAAAATAAATATGAATAAATTATTAAAGCATCCACCGATTTGAATATTTTGTAATAGCATTGAAATAAATATTTCAATGTTAAAGAGTTATTGGAAAAATTACGTTGAATAAATTTTACATTTATGATAATTCGATTACTAATAATATAATAAATCGTAATAAGACTTTTGTTTGTTACTCTTTTAAAATTTGTTGAATATTTAAAAGTATTTAATATATATTGTAGGGAATATTTTCTTCCTGATAATTTAGAACTTCGTAGTAATCGCAGAAAAATAATTCTACATCTAAGAAATATTTTTAAAAACTTTTAATGAATTAAAGAAGTACATTTTAACATTTTTTATAAAAAGAAAAAATAATATAGATACAGTTACAAAAAAAATAATAAAGAAATTTATAAGAAAAGTAATACTTTAATTTTACAACATATTATAAATGATAAGGATTCGTAATATAAGTATAAATGTCAAAATGAAAATATATTTACTATAAAAGAATTTCGTAAAATTTATAAACTTTATTGCTTTTTTTATCATAATGATATTATTTCATATAATTTTTTAAAAACATTCTTGCAAAATCACATTGCTAAAATGATGGTTTAAGGAATCCGATATTATATTTAATTTCTTTTACTATAGATTTTTCTTATAGGATTCTTAAAAAATGTAAAAAATAGGATATTCCAGTACACTTCTATACTTTCACACATGATTAGAATAGGTACACAATTTGTGTAATATATACGAATAGACACTAATGAATAAATAAGAATATTATTAAAAGTTTATATCTATATAATAAAAACAATATACACTTAAAAACATTTATGAAATAATATATCTGAAATATTTGCTTCATTATATTTACTTTTGTTTTGATATGTATTTAATTTAAAGTTATGAATCATGTATCCTATAATTTTGATTTTTATAATTATTAATGTTTATATATATATAAAAAAAAAACTTAGTCATAAATATTTGAAGATTTAAAAAAAGCGATATTTTACAATTCATTGATATCAAATTGAGTTAAAATATAATAATTTATTGTTACTTATATTTTATTAGTTAATGGTTCATAAAAAATATATTAAATTCTGTATTTAATAATGGCTCGATAGTATTTGATTTAATCAAAAAGTTTGATAATTTAATATTCAAGAAAATTTAGTAATTAGTAAATGTGACTAATTTATATAAGAAATAATGTCATTCGACTTTTAGAAATAAAGAATATTTATTTTGTGTTCATCAAAAAAATAAACCGATTAAAATAGTAATTAAAGAATCGTACATACGATGAAAGATAATGTAAATCAAGTAAAAAATATTAAACATTTTAATTTTCAAATTAGTTAAAAGTAAATGTGAATTTTAACTTGTACAGAATTCATTTAACCGCCCGGATATCGTCGCAGCGGAAACTTTAGCAAATCACGAGAGGTGTAATAATTCGTTCGTTCATGAGGTGTTCCGGGCACACTTCCGCTCAAGCCTGACGTGTCCGCGTTGTCAAAAGCAATCCAACACATTCGATCCGTTTCTATGTGTCTCTGTACCCGTACCCCAGAGACATAGGCAAATAAATCTTTTCGTGAACGTCCTCTACACTTCGCAGCAGCCACGCCAAGTACGTATCGGTGTCAGCGTTAATCAATCCGGTAATGTCAAAGAGCTCAGGGAAATACTGGCCAGCGACACTGGTATCGATGACAATCATATGCTACTCATTGAAATTCATGATGAAGGCTTTCATAGGTGAGTCTGATTAATGCTGTATTAATAATTATAATAATATTTCCGACATTAGTACTATTGTGTATTGTACATATACTGGATAAATTATCAAAAAAGTAAAAATTTTACCTTCTATAATAAAATAATTTGAAAAATATCCTTGGAAATTTTATAAATAATTTTAATTTTAATCATAAATTGCCCTTCTGTAGCCTTTTTTTTAATAAATGGCAACTAATCTCAATTAATGATACTGAATGGACAGTTATTAACTTCAACTTCCTACAAATTTTTTTTTTATGAAATGACATTTAATTATCTATCTTTTAATTTAACCTAATTCTTATCTTGTTAGTATAGAAAATAATAATTTTTATATTTTTATGAATTTTCATAGCTTTTCCATAAACAAGATTTTGCTATTTGTGTTTAATTATTGAATTTTAATGGATTTACAACCTTTTATAATTTAAATATAAATGAATAGAGTTAACATACCCATTAAGATCATATATTTATATATACTATGTATTACAATAATTTATTATCTTTTTTTAATTTTCACCCAATGATTTAAGTTAACAGTTGAATCATAAAATAACTTAGCTTAAAAAGGATTTTTCGATTTTCAAGTATAATGATATTCTAATATTAATTTGGGGGTAAAATAAAAATAAAATGTTAAAATAGATCATTAAAAGAAATACCATTTGATTGAATTTATTCGATCCAATCCTAAAGCTCTCATTTTTAATTTATTATAGAAATCTATTTCGAAATTTAATATTCATTCATAATAATAGCAAATTTCTTCAATTTTTTTTGTATGGGATTTATCTTTATATACATATTTTGTGGTTCTGGAAGCCACAAAACAAGATAAAGTTTTACATGTATAATATTCCAATGTAGAACATTCTCGGATTGTCAACCATTGTCAGCCATCAGCGAAAATGATCCACTTTACTGCATTGAACTACCTCAACTGAAAGAGCCTACAGAGCAAGCTTACATACTCCTCGTTTGGATCAACATACTTGTAAGGGGTGAAATGCGCGAGCGCTTTGGTAGTCCCTCCACGATGCAGATTTCACGAGAGACTTCTTATGAGGACCTTCAAAAGCTCTTACTCAAAGAGATGCATGCAACCTTGACGGACGATGTACTTACTGCTAGTCAAAGTCCAGGTCTCTTCAACATTAGGGTGGCCGACCCAGCAGCTACACCCGCTCAAGACGAGCATCCTTGCATTGATCCCTGCATTGAGCATCCGCTTTACACGGAGCAGATCGAGCAAGCACTTGCCATTTGCGCTGAAGACTCTGGACCACAGCATGTAAAACTTATTCTTGAATGGGATGAAACTAACAAATGCAACATTATACAGGACGATTCTGACCAACTCGAAGAACATGCCAGCGTCAAACAGCTTAAGAATAATTGCGAATCAGGTAAATGCATACAAACTTCTTTTTATCTTACATTTTTTTTTCTATTCGTTTATATATATATATATATAAGTGTGTGTGTGTTTTTTAGATTAATCTTATTAAATTTTGTAGTAATTGTATCTAATACTAAATATCCAACAGGAAATATTATTTAGAAATTATTAATTTAAATATTTTTTATTTGTTAAAGTCCCATATAATGGTTTTTTTATTAAATTTAATACTCTTATTTCTTACATCTTCGATATTGGTCAAAGCACAAATTCATTTACACTATTCTTTTTCAATTTATACAGGTGGTACAGTCACTCTCGAAGAGTGCTTTGATTTGTACACGAGAGCCGAGACATTAGGTGTAGAGGACGCTTGGCACTGTCCAAACTGCAACAGAAAACAGGAAGTAGTAAAGAAACTTGGACTGTGGTCTTTACCCGCTATTTTAGTCATACATTTGAAAAGATTTCGACAGCAATCCAAGCAAAGATCGACGTCAAAGTTAACGATGCTCGTTGATTTTCCGCTTTACGGCTTTGATATGACACCACATCTGGCACACAACGGCGTTCAAACGACCCATCAAGTTTCAACTCGAGGAGGATTGAGTTTGTCACGTCTGAAAAAACCCCGACCCAACATACCCAAATATGATGAGAATGAGTATGATTTGTATGCCATCTGTAATCATCACGGACAAGACCTTCAAGTGAGCTATTGAAGTTATTATAAATTTTGTTATACATTTAAAATGTTATTATAAACTTATATGGCTATGTTAATATTCAAACATTGTTTCATTTTCATTTGTCTTAAAAAACTTCAAATTTTATTATTTATATTATAACATTATTTGTTTTTATTTAATCACATAAAATATAAGATTTTTAAAGAATATTCATTTTTAAACACGGGGTTGTATTTATATGTTATTTTGAATATTTATTGCATATTTCATATTTAGTAGTCAATTAAATCCAATTTAATGAGTAGATTACGAAAGATTACTAATTTTAAATATTATTTATATTTTTTATTAAAAATATAATTTTCACTGTATATCCAATGGTTTAATTATCAACATAAAAAATCAATTTAAGATTTTTACACTTTACTACTATGAATTGGAAAATAAAATAAAAAAAATAATTATTTAAATACACACTTTAATCAAATGGATGTGAATTGTTGATAATGAAAATACTGGATCACTCAATAGGGTGGACATTACACAGCATTTTGCCGCAACCCTTATGATACTCAATGGTACTGCTTTGATGATACGCGGGTCGAGGCTGTAAATGATACGAATTTGGTGACCAATGCCGCCTATATTCTATTCTATCAGAAACGAGGACAGGCGAATAACTCTTCCACCGGTAACTCATCTGCTGCTTCAACCTCGTCTGCGAGTTCAAGCCTTGACCACTGGGTTTCTCAAATGCCACCTTTTTATTTCAACAATAAAAACAGCAATTTGAGTCACATCGATTCCAGCCTCGTAGAAATTGATGGCAACAAGAAGAGCCAGAGCCAAGAAACACTGTGTCAAGAAAAAATGATTGAGGAGAAGAATCTCAATAACTTTAACAGAGGTTGCAAAAATTTTTCGACATTGCAGCCGATGAAGCGAAATACTACAACAGAATTTGACAAGAGGGCTCTAACGTCCCCATCTATGGGAGGAATACAATACGAGGATATTAATTCGCTATTTTACATAGTACGTTTTTAGTTTGTATTTTTTAATTTCTTTATATTGAAAGGATTGTCATCTTTTTAGAATATAGCTTTTAGAAAATAGCTTTCACATTTCCATTTCAACTTTATTAATTTATGACTTTTAAATGAATTATGAATACGTATTTTGATTTAAAGAATATATTATATCTAGAGCAACAAACTTGACTATATCTTATATGCAATAATTTATAATTACATTTGAAATATATGAATTATTTTATTATTAAATTAGATTCTATAAAAATGAATAAATTTATTTTTAATCGTTTATCACAAATATTTTGTTTAAAATTCATATAAATTGAATGTAATACTTTATATATTTTTTTATTTACAGACGTCGCCAGAGCCACTAAGGAAATCACCCGTGATAACTTTGTCACCACATACGGCACCTATATTGTTGCAAAACAGTATAATGAATCATCAGGACACGCCAGTCATTCATGAATCAACGTTGTAATATAAGATAGAAGGTCAAGATTGTTGACCTATAAGATAGTTGTATTATAATTCCAGCAATAAGTCATACCTTGAAGTTTATAGTGCCTGGATTAAATGTGTAATGTTTCTGTGCATGCAACGACAGTGATTTTGCGTGGACGATTCAACTTTTATATTAGTTGTTAGTCAAAATTTAATGCCCCTTCCTCTGTTTTCTTTTATTTTTTCTATATCTCTTCTTCTCTCTCGTATCGAGAGTATAGGATTCTATTACTTTAAAGAAACTACATTACGTGGAGAAAACATGTCACTTATTATATGAGATAAGTAATTCTTGGCTAGTTATGTTTTATCCATAGAAGAATCAATAAAGAATTCCAAAGTTTTCTTTTTTGCAAAATTCAGATCAATTGCACTCTGAAAATTTGCTTTTGTAATAGAGGTGACTATATATAAATTTCCGTGGAATCGAATATTTCCGTATAGTATATTAAAATAATTATAAATTATTCCATTGTTAAAAATGAATAAATTTATATTTTGTATAAATTAAAATAATTATTAGGCGATACTTATGTAGTTTATATAAACTATTCAGAAAAAAAAGAAATTTATATACTTTATTAAAAAGTAAATAATTTGCTATTTCATTCGTAAATCAATATGCTTAAAAAGCTGAACATTTTAATACAAAAATAATTTTTTTTAAATGTATAACATTCAAATATCTTCTAATGCTAATTAATAATCTCAAGATGTTTTTGATAAGCATGATAATTTAAAATACCTTTCCTTTTAGTTTTTAAACATATTAAATTTAATTAAATATTAAATCAAATATTCAAGGTAATTATTAAATTTATTATTTGATAAATTCAAAAAAATTAATCAAAACCATATATTAATATATTTGATTATATAAATACCATTAAAAAAAATTTTTTTTAACTATATTTTTTTACATCAAATTTTATTCCTTTGTTAACTACTAAAACTAGTGAATAAAATAATAAAAATAAATTTATAAAAGAGAATTTAATTAAATTAGTTATAAATTTTTTTTTGTAATCGTGGTATTTATTGAATATTAAATGCAATTATAAAAATAGATAGTCGTGTATGAAATGATATAGATTAATTTAACAATGGATTGTAATTAACTATATATAGTAACAAATGAAACTAAAAAATATCCATAAATGTATGTGCAATATAATAAATAGAATGAACTATGTATAAATTATTATACTTAATCAATGCTGAATAACATTAAAAAATACTTTTACTGTAACTATAAAAGAAATTCTTTTTAAACTTTCATAGTTAGAGTATTAGTAGTTTTTAATGAACTTTTCTTTTTCTTTTGTAATTCAGTAATTAAGTTTAATTGGTTTTATGCAATACTTCAATTTATTTTTTATATTTAATAATTAATAATAATAATTGAATAATTTTTTTCCTAAGAAAATAGTTTCAAATAAATAAAATAAATATTCTATTTCTAAAAATTATAATTTAATTTTGTTTATTATCATTTAGTTCATCAGCTATAAAATAAAATAATAGAAAAAGATTAAGATATATATTTTCAAAAGTTATTTTTTACGAAAATAATCTATAACGTTTATTTTTCTATATTAATGAGGCTTACTTTTTTTAATTATATTTTTCTATTATGCTTTTCTAACATTATTTTGATTAGGTATATTTTTAATTTTGAATATGTAAAATCTATAACACTACTTTTCATTTGTAAAATATATTTATAAAATCACATAAGTTTTATAGTAACATTTTTAATTGAATGCAGAATTTATTTTGAAAAAGTAAAATTAATTTTAATTTGTAAATCAAATCTATTATAAAATAAATGAATATTAAATTTTTATACTATAATGAATAATTTTCATTTAATAGTAGCTTTTTTAAACAAATAAAAAAACTTTAGCACACCTTTAAAAATATTCGATTCTTATTTTGTTTAGTTAATTTATGTACTAATATAGATTTGCCAAATGTACTACGAGAAAAAAGTGATATAAGCTTATAGAGTTAAAATTAAAAATGAAAGAAATCAATCAAAAATGTAGTAATAACTATAAACATGTTTTTCCTCCAATTATGTTTTCTTTACTCCTGTTAATATACTTGAAAATTGATAATTGAAGAACTTATCTAAAAGATAGAATTATATCTGAGGTATTATCGAACACTATTCATTACATATAATGTATAATGTACGCATATAGTTTTCATATATTAAAATATATAATATGAATAAATTAAAATATGTAGTTTGTAAGTTATTTTCTGAAGAAAATGCGTTGTAGAAGTGTTTATATACAAGATAACAAAGATAATAAACCTTATTACTGATTTAACATTTGTATGTGTTGATATAAAAAGATATACAGTTAAAATATTTTTGAATTGGTCAACGGCCAAAAACTTTTTATAAAAGACAACGTTGATTGATTTATTTTTTCTTTTAATTATTGAATATAATATTAATATAAGCATTTTGTAAAAAAAAAAATATTTTGTGACAATAAGATTTTTTATATTTAAATATTTAATGTGCGCGAACGTCTTAATAGTTAGGCAAATTTTAATTATAATCGTTTTTCTATAAAATTCAATCTACCGATGGTTGTTGAATCTTCGCTTAATATTAATATTTATATTATATTTATATTACCTAATAGTGGCCTTCTCTTTTAATAACTGCTATAATTGCATTGAATAATCAGCACTATTATAATTACATTTGCAACATTTTTTTATTATAGTTGGAAATTTGATTATCAGCACTGTATAACTAAATGAAATTTATAATTTATAAAATTTTTCAAATAATTTTTACTTGACTATAGGTAGCAATAAATAGAAATTCATGAATAAAATTTGTATTATATTATTGATCAAGGTATGAAAAATATAATACCTTCATCGAATTTTCATTATATATTTTAATAAATGCGAAAAGTAAATCATTTAAATTTATAATTATTGCGTATGTTAAGAACGATCTGATTTTGTAGATTTAAAATAATTATTTAAAGTAAAGTGTTTATAATATTGATAATGAAACAAAATTATTCAACATTAAAAAATGTGATTATAAAAAATTGTGTAAAAATTTGAAAGCATAAAATGTAGATACTATATTGTAAGAAAAGTATGACGACAACATTTATATCAATAGATATAAATATAGCTAGGAAAAAATTAAGTTATTTTTAAAAATATTCGTAACTAGTCGCACAATTGTTGAATATGTGCGTAAATAAGGATGAATATACATCGATAGATTATTATATTTATAGTATATAAAAAATAAATTAATATTGATTTTTGGATAGAAAACATGTAAATATACAAATTTTGTAATATATCTAACGAAATATGGTCATCCTAAATTTTATAACATAATATAATATTTTATTAAAAAATCGAAACAATTTATTAAATATAATATTTAAACAAGTATTTATCATGATTTGAAACATAAATTTTTATTGTATTTTTTTTATAAATTTATATTTGCATACGATCTGCAATAGATAATAAAAATTTGCAAAATTTAGAATAGCTAATACAATAAGACAGCTAGTACTGACCAACAATTGCATTTTGTAATTTTAATACCAAATACTTTGTTAATGATAAATAGATCTTTATAGAAAATTTCATAAAATACGTTAAATTTGTTAACCTTATTGCTTTGGAGTTAAACATTTTAATATTTAAACGCTTAAGCGAATAAACTCTTAATATGTATTGTTTGAATGAGAAAAATAAAATTCAAGACCAAAAAAATCGAAGATCTTGTCATATTCTCGTTTATTATTACTATCATTTTAAATAAGAGAAACTGAAGGAATTAATTTTTAATTTCTTAAATTAATTACGTTTCATTTGACACTGATTCTGTTGAAATAAATCCAATCACATAACTGAAATTGAAAAATACTTAAAGTAATTTGATTAACGTATTATATTTTGTATCTTTATCTCAGTTTATTATATAACTATCAGACTTATAGAAACAAATTAACTTATAGAAAAATCCATATATAATACATACTTCATAAAATAAGAAAATAGAAAAAAATATTTTTTTATACATAAAACTTTGTTTAAAAAATTTGGTATATTCGAGAAATACTAAGATGTCATTTTATTAAATATTATACATATTAAAAAAGTTTTATATGATATATTTTATATACTATTTTCATTGAAGTATAAAATCTATAACAAAAGATTTTTATATATAGAATTAATATATAAGAATAACAACTTTAATTTTGATCACTAGTCATTACTATTCCCAGGCTTAAAATTAATATTATTAACGTTTCAAAATTATGATCGATTTATTCACTTTCTTATTAATTATTTTTTGGAATAGATATTTAATCAACACAATGGACGTTCATCTCACGATTTAATATTGAAAAGAAAATAGTACAAGTTATGAATACACGTAACCAATATAATACTATTAAAATTATTATAAATAATGTATTTAAATATATAAAGTAACTCATTATATAACTTTTTTTATAAATATATTTTTATAAAAATAACTTTTTTCCCTATAAAATATTGGTTCTATAAATATTCATATGATAATTAATCGTATTATTTTTATAAAAATCTCTTTTAGTATTATACAATACTATTATTAAGTATATGTGCGTTCATTAGATAAAAAATGTCATGTTCAATTTATCATTTGACGATAAAAAATTTATTAGTTTTGAATTGAGTAAAAACAGCATCATTTGAAATAAAATGAAATTTATAATAAAATGATTATTTAAATAAGAAATTTTCATTAATATCGTTTCAAATTATAAAATTTAAAAAATTTATTTTGTATATTAAGAATTTAAGAAATTTGTTTGTCTTTAGTATTGATTATGATAATTACAAAAAAGTTTTTAAACATATAATATTTGAAAGATTGCAAATTAAATATTGATCATTAATAAATCATGTAGAATTATGTTTAACATGTATGATAATATATTGTGTTTAGTTAAAAATTCCATGAAATATTAAAGATTTCTCCTTTGGTTATTTACTTTTAAATAGAGTTTTTTAGTTAAACAGTTCTTAGGTAAGAACCTTGTATATACATATAATTTTCAATATCATAAAAATATTATATAAATTATTAATTTTTAACAATTACTACATAAATTTCATACATAATGTTTTTCACACCAATGGAAGTAGCAGTAAAACAATATTTGGGAATAATTACATCAAGTAAATGTCTACTATACAAGTTATGTCACAAGGGTAAAATAGAATCGATTAAAAGTAATTAATATATTATAATTATATAATGAGTTTGGTAAGAAACGTTTATTAATTAGGGATGGCAGTGTGTTCGCGCCTACATTCAAATTCAGACATAAATACGCTGGTAGTATTCAATGGAGTTCGCAGCACCGTCGACTTCACGTGCAATTACAAGCTCGTAGTGACGAATAGTGGTTAACTATGACATATATATAGTTAATGGTTTAGAAGAAACTTTGAAGAGAGGTCGAAGTGGATAGAGAAACCAAGAGGTCGAGTAACGTGTGTTGAACTGCGGCGCGCGCATCTCTTCAGTCGGGCTTGGCTCTTCGTCGGATGTAGGTGTGTGCGTGTTATGTTGCACTAGGCGACGTTCGAGTTATTACGTGTTGTGTATAGTACGGGGCCCGTCGCCGATCCCTTCCGCCTCTCCGACTAATCAGAGTGGCTAGCGCCGCTCAACTCCCTGCATTCGAGGTGAGTACATTAATGCATAGCACATACTACGAGGGAACATTGAAAAAAGGATCAAAAGCAAAAGAGAGTTTTGCATGTTTATTTTTGTTTCGTATAACTATTCCTTTTTCTCCTTAGTACACATGCATAGCCATACACACGTATATGTATCAACATATGTATCGATTGAAGAGTGCTAGGATATATCATAATCGGTCCCGCCCTCGTCTAGTTGGCTGCCACACATATACTTTTATCCCAAAAAATTTACCCTTATAAATATATATACGCGGGCGATGCGCAAGCGAACAAAGAAGGAAACGCCAATCGATCCGAACATCATGTACGTGCTGGTTATACAGAAAAAATTAGTAGGACAACGAACTTGACAGAGTTTTGTGCAATGAAGAATGTAAAATCTAAAAAATATTAACTTTTTTTATCCCACTGGTTAAACAGCAATTCTCGTTCTAATGCAGCGTGCGCAAGTCGCACTTTTCGCTGCTCCCCTGGTACCCTTTACGATCCCTTGCAGACTCACTTAAGCGGCGTCTATCTTGCTCGAGCCAAATAGTTATGACATGGATCGATATCGAAGTTGAGGTTTTCGAAATTGCCAACCCTATGCATGCCAGAGTCAGTATATGTGAGTACTTAGCACCCAAATCTGTCCCCCGCCTTTTCCTTAATTGTAATAAGCAGCAGATAAAACTAGGTAGTGACCTTTTAAATATAAGAATTGATTCAAAGGGACAATGTAAAATTGTAATTTATGTTATTTGGTTACGTCAGAGTTTTCTTAAAAGTTATTGTAAATTGTACAATCCAATGGTACTGCCATTTTGAATAGTTGTGATGTACACCTATATAAATCTGTAAACAATTGTATTTTCATAAAGAAGAAATGAAAAATACTTTCTTTTTCAATTTTGTCATTGTATGTTACACCTAGCACATAAAAGAAATCTACCAAAAAAGAATTAATGGAAGATTTAATAGTTAGTTGAATTAATACTAATTTTCATAAAATCCAATATGAAAAATGCCATGAATCATAAAATAGTCTATGTTCTGTTTATTTAAACTTTCCGGTCTTTTTTATCTTAAAATAACTTCTCTCTTGTAAACAAGTCTATTATTTCATACCTTCTTTCTGATATTCCCAATAATAATTGTACGAGTTACTTCAAAATGTACTTGTTAAATAATTAAAAATATATTTTCTTTTAGAAATACAGTATTTAAAGTATATATATAGTGAGAATATGATTGAATTTATATGAAATTTAAAATACGAAAAATTAAAAATAAATAAATTTTTATAAAAATTAATTCACATTACTTTACAGATAAAAATTTTTAATTTATAAAAAACATTATATGCATTTTAATTAATTATTTTTAATTCCTCTGGGCTAAAAAACATCGATTTTAAAAAAATTCAATTTTCAAATACAGAGGATTTTTTAAATTATTGTAGCTAAATTTTTAATAAAAAAATTCTAAATTAAAATATTGGCTATATTATATATATTGTGTCATTTTTAGAACATGAATTAAATCTAAAATTAATTTTAAAATTTGTAAAGTATATATATATATATATATATATATATATATCTTATCACTGAAAAATATTTTGTATAGTATGCAACTTTCTTTATATTATACTCATGAGTAAAGGGCACATTTTGCATGATACCATACAAGCATATATTTATATATTTTATAATTTATATATAGGCATTTTGGACCACTTGTTGATGATGGTAGAGATTATCTGTTGTAATGAAAAATAATGTTTATCCATCTTTACCAAGTATAGATAATATATAGGAAATAAAATATTACGAATGATATTACTAGTTATGAAATTTTTTAATAAATAATGAAAATCTAACAAAATGTGTATACTTATATAAGCAGACGTATACGTATGTTTAAAAAAGAGACTGAGTAAGAAAGAGCGAGAGAGAGAGAGAGAGAGAGGAATAAGCAATGGAATTGACGTGTAATAGAAAAATATCTATGTTGTTATGGTTTTATGGATTATTTGTGTTCATCAAAAAATATGCGTGAAATGCTTACGAGCAATTGCTTGTTCAATATATTTTTTCGTACTATTTGGATGTCATGTTTCATGTATATTTGGTTGTCATTCACGTTTTCATGGCTTATAAGTTCAACGTATAGATTACTGTTATTTTACTTTAACGAATTGATAATGCAGTCAACCACATAAATATCCACACGCAGTACAAAGCCATGTACAGAAAAAACAAGTGATAATTTAAATACTTTGTCTAAATTTTCTTTTCACGGTTATTGTGAATTGACAGTCTTAACAGTATACAAACTAATTAAATTATTAAAATTTATTACATATAATATTAAACAGTATTCGAAATAAGCAAATTATATTGTAAAAAATATTATTAAATTATTTTTAATGAACAAATAAGGTAATAAGTTTTACTTAATATCTTAACTTTTTTGTATACTTAATAATTTGTTCCAAGTTTATTTAATATTATAGTATATATTTATAATTTTATCGACAGTTATCTAATAAGTTCTGTAATATGTTAATATGTTAATACAAATATTTTTATTTTGAAAACAGTAATTGGCTATAGTATTGTATATATACTGTTTAAAGGAAATAATAATCAATTTTAATGTAGTTTTATTTTTTCAATGTTAAAATTAGTTTTATGATATATTTTACATTACGTAAAATATTTTTAAACGATAGTGCAAGGCGTCTGAAAAGCTGTTTTAAATGAATTTATATTTAAAAATTTTTTTTAATATTATTTTAATGTCTTTAATTTTGTATTTCTTACTCTGTGTATTTGAATAAAATTTATAATAAAAAAATATATAATCATTCTGATTTATATTTAATTAATTAAAATTAATTATATTCCATCTATGTAAAAATTACATATTTTTTAAAGTATTTTCGAAATCATTTAAAGATAGATTTTGAATTACGTAAAGTGAAATTTCACATTAAGGCAATAATTATATATGTGATGTTATTCCCATCAAAAACTCATTAAAAAAACTACGTTTGATTTATAAACAACAATATTTATTCATATTTAGATATATTAATTTATTTGTCACAATCTTCAGTGCTATTAATCCCAGTACACTGATTTGACAGATGAAATTCCTTATTTTTATTCTTTCAACAAATACGAATTCTAATGAAAGTTTATTAGAATATCTGAAAATATAGTAGTTAGATTTTATATAATCATTATATGAATTGATTTCAAATATATTCTTTTTCCTTCGTTATTTTATGAACCTATATTTAATACTGTCTTGTCAAACTTTATATTTTATAAAAAGTATACAAATGTTTAAACACCATTTCCTTATAATTAATTTACATTTAGTAATCCATGGTAATATAGTAATATAGATATTTATTGTTCTTATACGTCCAATAAACAATACTTTCCAAGATATCAATGACAAACTATATTCATATATTTTGTTTATAAATTATATCGATAAATATTTATATTCATTCTAAGTGTAAAAAATTTAAATACCTGCAAAAATGAAAATATGTTTATTATTATTGAACAATATCAAATAGCAAAAGTTTAATTTATTGAAGTAATCACTATTTTTAAGATTTTTCAACAGTTATTAACAAACTATTCATGCATTATATGTTCGAATATTTTAATTTTTAATTATTAAAATGAAATACAAGTATATAAATTTTTAGTATAAGGTATATTTTATAACTAAAAATTAATCTATGTGTTTCTATTTAAGAGACAGTGTATATCAAATTCATTAATCAAATTTATTTGATATTTAAAATTTTATGACATTTTATTCTTGTAGGTTTATGATAGAAGTAATGTGATTTGTAATCATTATACGTAATTCATAACATGTTTTGTTATCCACAACAGCTATGATCTTCATTCTACCAATAGTTTATCGGTCAATTTGCATAGCATGTATATATATATTAAATCTTTAAAATCTACATCTTTTCTTTTAATGACAATCGCTAATATAAATTTATGCTGTTAATCCTTGTTCAGGTATATAATGGCAATATTAAAATAAATAATAGTGTGTATTAAACGGAAATATAATACTTACAGTAAAATTGTAATACTTAATTGACAATGTCTTGTGGTGGAATGGAATTACTCTGAAATCTGTTGAAGACATGCCTTAATTAATTTCAAATTGATTACCAATTTTATATTAATTTGTACTCTATTAAACAATACTGCTCTTTTTCACTAAATTAAATATTACTGAAGAATACTAATACCACTACTAATATTAAATTATGTTGATTATTAACGTAGAATGACTATAAAGTGACGGTCGACAAATAAGAATATTAACCAAATATAAGAAATTTTTGTAAATAAAGTATATTTATAGTTTCTCGAAATTGTTTAAAGTTGATTCTACATTATACTTACTGTTACGGATTGAACAGTTGAAAGCGGAAGACAAAAGTGGGAGAGGTATAAGCGCGCGAACGATTGCTGTATATATACCCAAATTCAAGAACTTACCTCCGAAGCACAATGAAGATACGTGCCAGGAACATCAAACCCAGCAGAATGTGACTCAAGAGGATTCACAACCTAGCAACTCAAGGCCCATCCATTGTGGTGGACTGGCCCACCTTGGATGATCACATCAGATTCATGGCCGACACAACCAACAGATGGAGATAAACAATTCATTCAAGAAGCTCGGCTAAGCATTTCATTAGTTGCAACAACTGACAAGCCAGACTATGACTGGAAGATTATTTACAAATACCCGTCACTCAATGAACTATTGAGAATAAAAGCAACATGCATCAGGTTTATTGCATGTCTAAAGGGGGAACAGACCGAGAAGGGTCACCTGACACTCGCGGAGATTGAGCAAGCACGAATTCAGTGGATAAGAATGACATAAAAACATACTTCGCCCATAAAGTAAGATTACTGAAATCCCAAGTCAAACTGCCCCCC